GGAGCAAAGGGGAGGGAGCAAAGAGGAGGGGGAGGGGGAAGGAGGCAAAAAGTGGAGACGAACATGGTTAGGGAGCAGGAAAGGAGGTGAAAGAAGAACATTTCAGAGAAGGCAATTTTCCGTCGCTGTCAAGTTACGAACCCGGGACCTATTGAATGAGAGGCGAACACCGTAAGACAGACAGACAGATATATAGACAGATAGATAGATAGACAGACAGATAGATAGACAGATTGATATACAGATTGATACAGACAGACAGACAGACAGACATATAGATAGATAGATAAATAGAGAGATAGATAGATAGATCGATAAGATCGATAGAAAGATGATAGATAGACATACATGTACGCAGTCTAGCACGGCACGTAGCGAAATGGGTGGGGCACGGAGTTCTTTTCCGCTATGTACGAATTTCGCCATGTACGTGTTTTAATAACATGCAGCAAGAAAATATTCGAGGCCAAAAAATCTGCTCGTTATGTGCGTTTTAGACTGTATATAGACACATACACACGCACGCGCGCGCGCACACACACACACACACACACACACAATATGAATGTGTAAGTGTATGTGTGTTTAGTTTTAGTTTTTAGTAAAGTTTTACGGCGCTCGCAACAGCATAAGGTCATATGAGCGCCAAATGTGTGTGTGTGCGTGTGTGTGTGTGTATGTGCACAGTATACCACATGTGTGCGAGTGTGAAGACGTACGGGGGAACAAAGAGTGAGAGGGGGAGAGTGGTCAGACAGCAAGGACTGTCGGTGGCTTCGGAGGTAGCAGCGGGAGGGCTTCCCCCAACCATGTAATGGCTTGTGTCTACTCAATAATAGCCGAGGAAATCTCCGACTTAAACAAACAGAACTAGCCTGAGAGTCCCCGGGAGTGACTATGGAGTGACACCTCATAGCCCAGGACACAGACAGAACGCAGGACCTCTTCATGCAGGATACCAGCCGTTATCAGGTAAAGGTAATGTTATGCTCACCTATTGACAATGATATTGACAATGACTATCTTTATTCATCTCCTCGGGGAGAAATTTCGCTTCCTTAGAATTACAAAGCTCTATCTGACATTTTAGGCCGTTTTGGGTTACTAAAACAATGAGGTCAGAACCAAAATGTTCTATCTGTTCCATCAAAATCGTAAGATTATTCGGGGTCGATATTCAATGAATTGCTTTCCAAAAAGCTTGACACGTTAAACTCAACATTTTTAACGTCAAATTTCCCCAAACTAGGTACTGTGCAAAAAGAACTTGGTCATTCTAAGGTAGCGATTTGTCAGGGTCGATTTATCTAATAACCTATTGA